TCAAGGCAATAATGTTTGATCTGTATCTCCTGCAGGGTGGAGGTGGCCACAGGTGACTTTGCCCTGAGGACACACCTGAGGGGCAGAGGAGTGTTCTCTGGGTGCTGTGCCAGCCCCCTCCTGAGCAGACATCATGATAAGAGATGCCTCAACACTCCCAGCCACCTCACGGGAAAGATATCACGGTAATAATCTCATTGCACAGGTGGGGAAACTGAGCCTGATGGGCGGTGTCTGCCCAAGGTCAGGCAGCTGATAATAAGTCCCTCCAGGAATTCCCCACCGCTCAGACTCTGCACCTGGCACTGCTGAGGTCAAGGGAGTTCGCTAAACGCCAGAAAGAGAAAACAGCCCCTACAGCCAGGGGCGTGTCAGCTCTGGCGGCTCCGGGCGTCCCTGCTCTTTATAGAAAGAAACAATTTCACGGAACACAAATGGACAAGGTCATTTGATGGTGTTGCCATGACCTCTTCCTAATCATGTCTGAACAGAGAAACAAACATTGTCCAAACCACAAAAGAGACCAGTGTCAACCCCCTCCCCGCCCCAACCTGGCTAATACAAATACTAGTTTCTCTAAATCATAGGTCTGGGTCTGGCATGATGGCTTATGCCTCTAATTCCAGCATTTTGGGAGGCCAGGGTGGGAAGAGTGCTTGAGGCCAGAAGTTCAAGACCAGCCTGGGTAACATGGTTAGACTTTGTCTCAAAAAAAAAAAAAAAAAAAAAAAATACGGCCAGGTGTGATGGCTCATGCCTGTAATCCCAGCACTTTGGGAGACTGACTGAGGTGGGAGGATTGCCTGAGCCCAGGAGTCCGAGACCAGCCTGGGCAACATGGCAAAATGTCTCTACAATAAATAATAATAAGCAAAATTGGTCTGGTGTGGTGGCCCCTTCTTATAGTCCTGGCTACTTGGGAGGCTAAGGTGGGAGGATTGCCTGAGCCCAGAAGGTCGAGGCTATGGTGAGCCGTAAGCATGCTATTGTACTCCAGCCTGGTTGACGGAGTGAGATCCTGACTCAAAATAAATAAATAAATAAAAAATAAAAAAATAAAAAATTTATACCACTGGCCACTCTCCACCCTCCTCACCTTTGAGATAAAGATAATCATAAAGTGACCCTCATTTCCTGAAAACATTCAATCCAGAACAAAGCCACTATTCTTAAAAAAACAAAAACAAAACAAAATAAAAACAGTAACGGGCAGGGTGCAGTGGCTCACACCTGTAATCCCAACACTTTGGGAGGCTGAGGTGTGAGGATCACTTGTGCCCAGGAAATGAAGACCACCTTGGCCAATATAGCAAGACATTGCATATATAGATTTTATCATCCCAAACTGGAACTCTGTACCCACTAAACACGAAACTCCTAATTCCCCCTCCCCCATCTGGGAACCCCTAGTCCCTGGGAACCCCTAATTTCTGTCTTTATGAATTTGCCTGTTCTAGGAATTTCATGTAAGTGAAACCACGCAACATTTGTCCTGATTTGCCTGGCTGATTTCATTTAGCATGGTGCTTTCTGGGTTCATGGAAGTGGTCGCATGGATCAGAACTTCCGACTTAAGACTGAAGAATGTTCACACTATCACTTGTCCGTTCATTTATGGATGGACACTTGGGTTTTTTTCCCCATCTTTGGCTATTGTGAGTAACGCTGCTATGAACTTTAGTGTCCAGACATCTGTATGAGTCCCTGATTTTGATTACTTTAGATATAAAAGTCACTCTTTATTAAACGCTTTCCTAAACGATCAAACACAAGCCGAAATCCTATCATTGGTCCTTTCAAACATCCCTTCACTGAGCTGCCCTGAAGGTCCCCTCCTCTGTGGGTTCTTCCTTCCTCCTGGCAACAAGACCATAAACCCAACTTTGCTTGAGGACCGATGTCCTTCTGATAATCTTTTGCTGAGTGACGTGGACAGATACCAACATGTCAGCCTCAAAAACCAACCAAAAGCATTTCTGGAGAAACACCTGATTCCCTACCCTTCACCTAACAATCCCTCTTTTTTGGGGGAAGGTGAGTCAAGGTCTCACTTTGTCACCCAGACTGGAGTGCAGTGACATGATCATGGCTACTGCAGCCTCGACTTCCTGGGTCCAAGTGATCCTTCTGCCTCAGCCTTCCATGTAGCTGGAATTGCAGGCGCACGGCACCACGCCCGGCTAATTTTCTGATTTATTGTAGAGACGAGGTCTTGTCAAGTTACCCAGACTAGTCTCGAACCTCTGGGCTCGGGCAATCCTCTTGCCTCTGTCACCCAAAGTGCTGGGATGACAGGCATGAGCCACTGTGCCTGGCCCTAATCCTTCTTCTTAATCTCCACCAATCTAATCAGCAAAATTTTACATTTAATTCCTTTCAAAGATCATAGAAGCCGGGCTCGGTGGCTCAGACTGTAATCCTGCGCCTTTGGGAGGCTGAGGTGAGTGGATTGCCTGAGCCCGCGGGTTCGAGACCCGCTTGGGCAGCGAGATCTCATCTCTACAATAAATAAAAAAAAATCAGCCTGGCGTGGTAGCGTACGCCTGTAATTCCGGCTACTTGGAAGGCTGAGGCGGAAGGATCGCCAGAGCCCAGCAGGTCGAGGCTGCGGTGGCCGGGAGCGGCCACTGCACTCCAGTTTGTGCGACAGAGTGAGACTCCAACTAAAAAAAAAATCATAGAGATATATCCACATGGCTGTATAGCCATCACCAACCTTCCATTTCCAAAATTTTAAAATCCCCAACCAAACCTATCTAGTTTTGGGGACCATGTAGTCACACCGTGTAAACTAAGAAAATTGCTAGATTGTCCCTTGTTGACAGCCAGACCATCATGGGTCTTGGTGAACAATGTGTCCTCAGCCACATAACAGCAGAGTAAAATGTCCAATTATGGTAGAATATTTCCAGAAAGGAAGCAGAATAAGAATCCTGTGAGCCGGGCTCGGTGGCCCAGTCTGTAATCCCGTACCTTTGGGAGGCTGAGATGAGTGGATTGCCTGAGCCCGCGGGTTCGAGACCCGCCTGGGCAGCGAGACCTCATCTCTACAATAAATCAAAAAATCGGTCGGGCGTAGTAGTGCATGCCTGTAATTCCGGCTACTTGGAAGGCTGAGGTGGATGGATCGCCGGAGCC